CACTGGGTGGGTTCCCTTCCCTGCCAGACTGTAGCCACCCTGAGCTAAAGGATAACCAGTAAGCTAACTGGTTATCACTGTACTTATGAGTTAAATGTTTAATCGTTTAACCTTTTACATCCTTTCTGTGAGCCATGGTCTGCTGGGGATTGGGGGAAGGGAAGGAGGGAAGTCTCTCTCCCTGCACCTCTCTGGCCCCATTTCACACCACAACCTGGCCAGAGGGGCTGCACAGGTAGGGGTCTGGGGTCTCTCTCCCTACAGCAGCCCTAGCTCAATGGCGTGTGGCTGCCAAGCTGGAGAGGTATATGGGGAAAGGAGTTTGGTCTCTGTGTCCCCGCAGCAGCTCTGGCCCTGAAGCACAGCACTGCCTGGTCAGGACAGCTGCAAGGACACAGTGCAGTCCTCCTGGACTGGGCAGGAGGACTGCCCAGCTGTGGGGGAAGGGGTTCAGGTTCTCTCTCCTCACAGCAGCCCTGGCCCTGTGGCCTGCTGCTGCCTGGCTGGGGGTGGGGGGGAGGGGTCCAGGGTCTCTCTCTCCCCCCAGCTGCTGATGAAAATGGCCAGCTGGTGGGAGGGCAGGGGCTGGGGAGAGGGGCCACTCTGGCAGCCTCCTGGGAGGCATGTGGTGGCACCCCCATGGCCAGTGCAGATAGGCACTGAGGCCTCCCCACCTCCCTCTCCAAAAGCAAACATCTGTTCAGTTCACTCGTGCTCTAACTTATAGCAGTTTAAGTAAAGTGTGGCAGAGTGCTTCTGCCAAGGGCTTTTTGAGCATCTGTACTTAGCCGTGATGTTTAAAAATGCTACTAGGAATAGTGTCAATTTTAGTAATTAGTCATTTCCAAAATATTAATTAAAAGTCATTTAGGGATGACATCTATTATGAGTCCCACTGAAAATTAATGGTTTTATAGCCATGATTTCCATTTTCTTGTGGTTTGTCTTCTGTTACCTATGTAAACTTGAACCAGCAGGGGAAACAGTCAAACTCCCTTTCTCAGCTTGGCTATTTGTTCTTACCTTTCACAGTATTGCCAACCCCACCGTGCCAAAACTCATGAGACGAACTCTTAAAAAAATCAAAAGATTGGCACATAAGTCATGAGATGCTATTTTTGAAGTGTGTGTAGGGGGGTTATGTGTGAAGGTGTTGAGGGCTGTGGGTGTGTGTGGGGGCTTGGAGCCTGGAGAGTCAGGCTCCCCACATCCTTGGCAGGATGCGGGGTACTGTGGGTCAGGAGTGAGAAGCAGCAGCAGGACTGGGGGGCTGTGGCTTGGGAGTGAGTGGCAGACTGAGACACAGACAGCACCCAATTGATAAGTGGAGAGAAAGGGAAGGGTGTGCGAGATCCAGGCCCCCATGGTAAGGGTGGGAGTGGGACAGGAGCAGGGACATGGGTGAATGGGGCCCTGGGGTTGGGGCAGGTCATCCAGGGGTGACGGGGAACATGGCTCCCCGTAGCAGCGCACCCCAAGGGAGACATGAGGTCATGCGCCCCCCGGGGGGCAGAGGCAGGCTGCCCTCTGCAGGCTGAGGCTCTGTGCCCTGCTGCCTTGCCCCAGGAGCTCAGCCACATGACAGGAGGCATAAAGGGGTCACATGGCTGAGCTCCTGGGGCAAGGCAGCAGGGCACAGAGCCCCAGCCCACAGCGGGCAACCTGCCTCTGTACCATGGGGTGCACATGTCTTCACGGGGTATGTGTGCTGTTGTGGGGAGCTGCACTCCCCTCCCCTCCTGTGCCTCTGGATGACCCGCCCCGGCCCTAGGGCCCCGTTCACCCCGCCCCTGCTATTGCCCCACTCCCTCCCTCACCACAGGGTCTCAATCTCCCCCCTGCTTCTTCCCTCTCTCCCTGCCCCTTTCCCTCCACTTACCATCTGGGAAAATCCAGTGATCTGAGGGTTGGATCTGGAGATCATGAGTCAGAGTTATTTAAACTTTGCAATCCCAAGCTGGGCTGCCCCTGGCGGGGGGAGAGGGAATCGGGGCAACTGCCCTGAGCCCAGCACTTTGCGGGGCCCTGTGGAGCTGGGCAGAGTGGCCACGGTGACTGCACTGCCGCTGGCTTCACGTCCGGCCTCTCTGCACCACTCCCACCCCCGCTGTTGAATCTGCTACCAGCTTCCTTGCATCCAGGGGCAGGGCCCCACACAGGCTGATTTGCCCGGGGCCCTGTACCCTACTCGGGTCGTGTCTGATCCCAAGTCTTGCAATGGTTTCACAAAACAGTTGGCATTACTGCTTTCAGTTACAGTAATCTTAGTTATTACTCCAAACTCTGTAGCTGCACGAATAAAAAACAAAACTGTGTATGGAGTTTAAGTTGACTAATTTTTAGTTTTCTAAGTATGAAATCTGTAAAGAAAACTAAATTCAGCAGCCTTATTGAAATATTAGAAGAGTAACCAAACTGCATTTTCAGTAAAGGATTAAGTATGAACAAAACTACAATACTTTTCTCATTCCTTTATAAACCTTTTGATTTATTCACAGTTTTCCTCCCACCTGGGCCACGCAAGTACTTCTCAGACCAGATTAGAATCAGACTCTCCAGTAATAGTCACTAGTACAGCTGTAGGATCCGGCATCATCTCAGCTCAAAAACTGGTAACAAACTAGGATTAAATGGATTCATTTTTCAAGGTTTTTCAGTCACCCTAAAATCTATTTTGGAGGACTTCTGAGTGATATTTTGGGGAGATGTTATAGAAATATGAAGAGGAGGAAATCATCTAAGAATTTAGATGAAGATTTGGGCAAAAGCTAGAAACTGCTCCAGTTCGTCTTATAGGAATTTTTTTTTTTCATAGTAAAAGAGTATTAAATAATGTTGAATGCTTTTTGGGAGAGGGAAAATTGTGGAGTTGAAAAAGGAGAGAGGATGAATGTAAAGATAATGTAAAATCATAAACAGAACAACAGGAGTAATTCACTTTTTAATTGCTGAGAGAGGTTTTAAAAAAAGTAGCTGTCTTGTTTCCCACTTGCTGCTCATTCCTTCCCCTACACTTCCCACCACTCCACGTTTGTTTCTAAGCTGTTCTTTTTGCTTTTCTTCCTCTGCTAGCTGCTATCTTCTCTCCTTTTCTCATCTGATGCAATTTGCTGCTGGTATGTCTCCAGGGAAGGAGGAAGGGTTGGAAAATGGCAGCACTTCATTTTCATGTGTAAGCTTTTTGGTGCCTGGCATGTTTACTGATTCCAGTACTCTGCCAGCGTGGATGTGGGTGCCTACAGCTGTTACTGGCTTGCAGCCTTAAAGCAAAGCTAGAATTGTTAAAGATTGCTAGATTTGTCAAAATATCTGACAAAGAAGCCACTTTCATGCTGATTTTATTCCTTTTCAGCACAATGCTCACTTACCACATCACAGTACTCACACTGCTTGTAGTAAATATATATTCTTTAGGTAAGATGCAGAATGCCATGGTAAACTAATTGCAATTAAGTATCAAATTTTAGCTCTGCTTACTGTATGTAATCTCAGATATACAGTACTGGGATGTTCTATTCATATATGCAGCTAATAAGGCTAAGCAGCTGTATAGGTGCATTGCAAACATTATACTTCTGCCAACTACTGTCTTGTTTGTTTATAGCCCATGGCAAGAGTAGTGACTTCTGCTCAACAGAAAGCAGGAAGAACAATCACTGCTCGAATCACAGGCCGGCCTGACTTGGGGCAAAAGAACAGAATTAGTAGTTTAGCTGTAATGGGAGTCGCGCCACCCATGAGTTCAGTCGTTGTAGAAAAGCATCATCCAGTAACTCAGGTAAGTGAAATGGACCTTTAATCTACCTTCTGCCTGCAAGAAGATTAAAAACTCCTCAGGACAGAGGTCATTTGCTGAAGGGCTGTTAGAATAAATAGGCAGTACCCTTGATGCTAGGTGAGCACTGGAATTAAAACTTGCATCAAAATGAGGGAAAGAAGTAAATACCCCCCACCTTCTGCTCCACCCTAACACCTTCACCTAGTGGACAGCCATGTTCAGAGCTGTGGAAGCAAGTCCTTATTGGTTCCTTATGTCTTCTACTGTCCCCTTTCTCCATCATTCAGTATATGCAATAACTTTGGGAATGATTTCTGTCAGTCACTTGATAGACAAAACTTGTATACTGACTTAATTTTAATGGTGAGAAGTGTGACCGGGCCAAAGGTATAAAAATAAGATGGAGTGATTGATATGCTTTGCTCATGCATCCCTTGTCCTAGTGACAATCTCCTGAGCTACCATCTTGTTTGCATGACAACAAAACAAAGTGATAATTAAACCTGCTGTTTGTTGCAGTTGATTCATTCTTTCCTCTTCCTACCATGCAAACTTCTATGCAGTATGCTGTGGGACAGTGAATATATTAGTTAAGTTTCAAATAGCTGATGTAGTGTAAGAAAAAGCATTTGTTCTGTGGCCTAATTAGCTGAAAGATACGAGTTGGCCTGTGTCATTTCTTGAGCTGATTAGGCTGGCTACTGTCAGGGTAAGAGCTCTTATTTGCTTTGAGTGGATGAAGGAGATCCAGCTTTTTTGGCTATAAAGTTCTCTGTGATTTTGGCCCAGATAATCAGAAAGGTCATTCTTTTGTCCCCTTGATCAGTACTGCCATAAGTCCGATCAGCACCAGTACTTTACTTTCTTGGTCTAAATAGACATGCTTAGGGGCTGAGTGTTTGCAGTGAAGGATCTTCAGCTCTGCATTTCCATCCTCTTCAGTCTACCATATCTTTCTGACATACTTTCAGTTGGCTTTTAGGAAATATTCAGGTTCAGAGTAAGTGGGGTTCAGTTTCATCAAGGGGTTGGGAGGGGTCTTGAAGCCTGGTGTGTGAGCTTAATTTATCTTAAGGAAAGTGACTGAATTCAGATGTGACTAGTCACTTAGTTATTGTGCTAGAGAGTATCTCTTGTAACTTGAAGATGCCTGCAACTTGGAAAGGGAGCTGGGAGCAGGGGGGGAGAAAAAGGGGAGGTTTGTGAGAAGAGATTTTTTTTTTTAAGACACTTGTACATTTTTGCTCTATCCCAGAACTTGAAACAAGAAGCCATCAGTTCCATTGCAGTTCTCTGGCCCAGGGGCTGTTTTTTAAGCCTCCCTTTCCTACATTCATTCCTTCCTACTCATGTGCACTTGGCAGTAAATGCCTGGTGCAGAGTCAGCTAGCCTGAATTGTATTTTTCTGATTGAATGAATTGTTGGCAATGGAGAGAAGCTGTCAGTAATGGTGTTAGTTTGATTAAAAAGGGATTGACTGCTACTTATTGCAGCAGAGAGACCATCTGCCTACAATGAAAATGTAACCACCTCCCTGTCTGAGGGTATTTGCTTGGTAAGATTTCTTGGTATGTCTTTAGGGGGTGGCTAATTTGCTTTATTTAAAAGTGATCTTAACTTCAAAGCAGTGTTGCTATAATTAATTAGAGCTACAGTCAAACTTCCAGAGACCCAGAGGAAAAAAATAAGCAAGAGGGCTAAGTTAGGCAGCCTGAGGTTTTATGAGATCAAACACTGAAATTGTGTTTTTTAAAAAGAATTAAAATATAGATGGTGGTGGATGTCAGGGAGTTAGACACAGATGCCACTTCCTCTTTCTTCTAAATCATTACCAGTTCTAAGATGCAGATCATTATGTTCCAGCTAATACAATGGGAAACTGTTTCTGTGAGCACTTTTCTTAGTTCTGATGTATCTTTTTTTCCCCCCCAGCAAACCATATCCCAAGCCACTGCTGCTAAATACCCACGAACTCTCCATCTTGCCTCTAGTGCCAACACTGTGAGACCTACAGGACAGGGTGGACGAATGCCCCATAGCCAGTCTCATCCTCATGTTCATTCGATAAAGGTTGTTGATTAAGTTAATGCTTTGAAATGTGTGTATCCTTTCCAACAGGCAGAGGGTTTTGCCAAGTCTCAGTTTAAAGCTATTCCCCATTGTTTCCAGGTTGCTGTCACATGGCCAATCATGTTTTTACCTTTTCAAAACTGTACTGCAAATCTGCTCACACTGATGTTTTTTCTTCAAAACAGTTAAATTAACTTTTGAAATATATTTCTCAAATTGCAAAGTATGCCTGTTTGAGAGAACCTGTTATAGCTGTATTCTTATTTAAGGAATTTGTTATATAGTTTTTAATAAAAGATCCAAACAGATATTAGTCTGATGGGATTTTTTAACACCCCCAATTTCTTGGAGTGAGATATAAATCAAGTCACCTAATCTGGTTTCGATTTTCTGCTGATCCTACGGAGACTCTTTGTTTGCAGGGCATAACTCTTAAGAGAATGGTAGGAAGGCAGTTTTAGCGAGTATCACACAATGCATTACACAGATGTCCTTTAATCATCAGCTCCCAAGCAGTGTCCCTTTTTCAAACCAGCATTGCTTAAGCTCATGTTGTAATGCAGGACAGAGTTGGACCCAAGACTTCAGAAAGCCAGAAAAACTAGAGTTCAGTTTACCAACTTCACCCAGGAAACAGTTACGCTCAAGAGACAGGAATTCCTCTCCGTACTCCTCAAGCAGCAAATGGAATGAAAGCTGTTAAATGTTGAGTACTACTTTGATAGACAGAAAAACCGACAGCATATATTTGCTTATTTGTGTGGCGGCTGAGTGGTAGGCCAGGCTGTAGCCAGTAGCCCCGAAACGGCAGGCGGGTACTTTTGACCAATGGAGCGGAATTAGGTACTGAAGCATATTGGTTGAACAAAGAGATTATTTACTTACGCCGTCGGTGTACACAGTGCAGAAAGAAGAACTGACTTAGATTACAGTTGCAAACGTGAGCTCTTCGAGTAAGACAACATGACATGAACGGCTTATCGGGCCTGCAGGGCACGGGGGTACGTCAGGACGGTCGGTGACAGGGAGTCGTTGGTGGGTGATCAGTCCACCAAGTTCACTCCGAGATGTGCGCAGAGTTCTCCGACTTGGGCGGAAACTGCTTTAACTTTTATATGGCTAGCAAGCCAATTACTAGTCACCAAGTGTGAATAATTATAACCGGCCAATGGTGGTGCGCGTATTTGCATAAAGTTGGCGGGAACTTGTTACTGCACCGGGGTTTTCTACCATAGCGGAAAATTCCACTGTGGTGAGAAATTCCACTGCGTTATAGGCATCAAATCAATGAACTCTTCCACTGTGACAAAGGCACTCAACTACCGGGTTCTGACAATTTGGGAATGAATATTTAGCCAAGTTTGATTGTTTTCTTTTTACAAGACAGAAAAACTACTGTTCCTTTAACAGCTCTTTTCTGTGTAAAAAACACAAAAGTTATAGTTTTAAGGCTACTATTATAGGGTGCCTCATGATGGGAATAAATTTAATAATGAATTTGCACCCACCTACGGTGAAGTCAAGGTGCCTCTTGTATTTTGCTGTGCTAGGATTAGCCTTGGTTAAATGTAATTAGTAGTTTATCTAGGCAATCAGGGTAGCTTTTCTGAAATGTCTGTTGGCCAAACTAGGCTAGTGTTTACTGTGGCTTTGTCCATGCTAAGAAAATTAGCATTTTCAATGCTGGACACACACACCAAATAAACATCCACCAAAAACCATACCCTAAGTTTAAACAAGAAAAAACCAGCTTCAGACTGAAAACTATTTATGGATGTGTTTAATATTTATCCACACAATCCTGACTTATTAAACATCATATCCTTAAGCTACAAAATATGCCATTTATTTCTTATCAAGCACAGAGTAGCTTAACTGCATAGTTCCAATGTGGAATTACTGCTGTGATGTAAGTTGGGTAAGAAATTGTAGCATATGTGTTTTTTCTCAGAACTGTTAATTTCTAACAACCAACCACTCTCCAAAAACAGTAAATTAACTACATACTTACAAGTGTCAGACGGTGTGTGGAATTAAACAAAGAAATTAACCTGAGAAGTATTTCTGGCAGATAAGTTTTGAGAGCTTGAAGAAAAAACTTCGTAGACTTAAAGCAGGCAAGTTACATTTTTCAAATACAATCTTTCTAGAAACAGTATTCACAAATAGCAAACAATTCCATGGTGTGTGCTCTCTTCTGTTGAAGTCAGGAAATTACACATTTTCTGGAATCCATATCAGTGCTGCTTTCAGCTCTGATCTTTTCTGCAAAAAAAAAAAAGGGGGGGGGGGGGGGAAATGCTGAGACAGGCACTGCTTCTTACCAGGTCTCCAACTGAACCAACAGAGGCCTGACCATGAAAACGGATGAAACTGGAGTTTTTGTATGATTAAGCTGGGAGGGAGGGATTCTCCTCTTCATAGACTCAGCTGTCTCTGCCCTTGATCAGCCAAATAGCCACAGACCTGCAGACCTGGTGGGGAGCCATGCTTCTTTTGCAGGCCTGCAGTCATCACCTCTCTTCTAACATAGCTTGGTGCTTCAGCATAGCAGCAGTTTTTTCTGAAAGCTACTTCACTCTGCTCTGCATACCAGAAAAATCTTACCAGCTAGATGCGGAAATCCTGCATTCACCAGATCTTCAAATATATGTTTGACTGGATTCTGATGAGCCAGCAACACTCCATGTAACCAGATAAGCAGCATTCGGTGTCCATGTTCCTTATAGCTCTTTTTTCCTAAGCCATACACAAAATACATATCTGTGCAACAGGCTGGAGGCAAAATACCCTGATGTCACATTTGCTTTACAAATAGGGATTTTCCTTTAAAAACCACCTTCAGGCATTCAGACATTTTCATTTGCTTTCTAACCTAGAAACTAAGACGTCCAAAGGTGAAATGGTAGTTTTACCCCAAAGCTAGTGGAAAAAAATCAGGATTTAATTAATCCAAAATTTAATTTGCTCCTTTCGTTTTTAACTTGGGGAAAGGCATCGTAGGGCAAGTAACAAAAGTGAAATATATGGAAATACTGAGCTCTCAAAGCTAACTGCAATCACTCATCCCTAAAGCTGGCAAGAATTCCTGAGGATTATGAAGCAAGTGCAAGTGTGAGATGTTATGTTAATCTGAAGTGTGTTTGTACTTCACAATTTTTTAAATCGCAAAGAAAATAATGCTGACTTAACTCAAGTGAAATGTCACTGTTTGACCAGGGAAAAATACATACTCATGACTTCCCCATAAGTTAAGTGGCCTAATCAAGACACAAGAAATCAGAACTTGTGGCAGAGGTGATATATTTTATTAGACCAACTAGATATTTGCAAAAAAAAAATCTTTATTTGCAAGCTTTTGGGCACAGGCACCTTTCTTTACGCACAGGAGAGTGCAAAGATTGTAAAATTTCTCCTAGGTGGAAATGAAAATTCTGTGCCCAAAAGCTTGCAAATAAAGATTTTTTTTGCAGCTATCTAGTTGGATTAATAAAAGATATCACCTTTGCCATGAGTTCCAATTCCTTTTGCCTCTAAACCAATACGGCTACAACCTGGATACCTAATCAAGACACAATATTTTGACCTAAGCTATTTATGTCCTACTTGTATACATTCAGTGCCTATCTTTACCTGTCCACTGTTCTTCAATAGCTTTAATTTGCTCATCTGTGAACTGCCAGAACAGGGCCAGCTTTTTCCATTCCTGTGGCTTTAACTGATTGTAAGCCAGATTCCAGAGGGAGGAACGGATTTGCTTGGTCTGCATGCTGTGGTCTTGCTTAAAGGACAGACGAAAATCTGATGATTCATCAGTACTTCCAAGATGCTCCTATAAAATAAAAACCAAGTTTCAGATAAACTGTAGTTTTGTAATGACAGATTCCAAAATTATGCTGAGAACATTTATCTTCTTTGGCAACTAAACAGTATTGGGCTGTATGCTTTGCCATACCTTGGCAGCACTAGGTAATTTTCTTATTATTAACATAAGAACATAAGAATTACCCTTGACTGGGTCAGACAGTATCCTCCCTAGTATCCTGTGTCACACACTGGCAGACAGATGATATTGAAAGGAAAGTGAACTGGGTATGACCATGGCTTTTTCACTGTTCCCCTGTTACTTGTAGCCTCCAGCATTTAAGGTCTAGAAAGTTCTGATTCAGAGGCTGTATCTCTAACTCCTATGCTCAATGGCTACTGAGGTGTAGGTTGTAGCCGTGTTGGTCTCAGGACACAGGCAGACAAGGTTCTTTGGGTAAATATGATACCTTTTATTAGACAAACTTAAATAGTTGGAAAAAAATGTTATAGCAAGCGTTCAGGTTTAAAAACCCTTCGTTAGGCTGAGGAAGTCTTTGCAGTCAGGGTGTGCTCTTCCTTGATGGAATGAAAAGTAAAGAAGCCAGAGGCTGCGCTGGTATGCATGCAAGACAGGCAGTCAGTGAAGATGTAAATTGAGGAGTCAGTGGGTGAGAGACAGGCTGGGTGGGGGGGAAGAGGGGGTTGAATGTAGCAGTTAGATAGTGGAGAGGTACCTGATGCCTTCCAACAAATTCCAAGAATTTATCCAATCCCTTTTTGACAAAGCCACAGTAAGCACTAGCCTGGTATACACACCAGAGACCTCCAAAAAATAAAGTTACCCTTGCTGCCTAGAGAAACTGCAAATTATATTTAACCAAGCTAATGCTGTAGGGTGGACAGGAATAAGGGCACCTAGTAGCTATATACATTACTAAATTATGTTAAAATTTAAAGTTGTTTACTCTAGCAATTGGTTGGGCTTTATTTTACTCAAAAGATCATGTTTAAATATGGTTGTAGTTAAATCACAATCCTTTTTTTTCTGTTTAGAAGCAGGAGAAAACGTGTGCGCCCATAGCAGTTATCTAAAATTTCCCACTGTTGCTACCGGCAGCTCAGATTCACTGGGGAGGGCACTTGTTAGACAATGCAGCAGCGACATAACTACAGTGTGGCATTCACCATCTCTGAGCTGCTAAATGATGATGTTAGAACAAAGTACAGTCCCTTTGAGCCCTGACTGCATGGCTAGTCCTACTGGAGAGTGGGACCAGGGCAGCGACAAACCAAAGTTAAAATCCTGACCACATGAAGTCTGAGTCCTGGATCCTTAGACACATAGTAAGGCCCTAGTTCAGCAAGACATCTAAGCATGTGCTTATACCCGTGAAGAGTAGAAATGATAAGCAGGTACTTAAATCCATCAAATCATAGCTTATTTTTATTTGTCACACTAGCAAAAATATTTAATGTGATTTAGCCATAACCATATTACTCTATCAGCATATGTGGTGACCTTTGTAATGTAGGGGCCTGTCTGGATGTATTTTCATACCAAATCCTGTAGCTGTGCTTCACCCCTGCTGCAGTGGCATTTGTGGTGGGTTATAACTATGCTGTTTCCTCATGTAGAGGAGCCTTTCCTCCTCTAATATTCATTTTTGATGGTGTTTGTTTACAGAATAGACGTATTTCACTCAGCCTCTAAAACTAAAACTGAGCTGCTGCAGTGATACAGGATGCATATTTTAAACTACAGAACAGTTGGCCAGGAAGGTAAGTATTAGCATCCCACACTTCAGAAGCAGTAAGCAAAAAGCCTACATTCAAATAAACCCAGAGACCTGCAAGTGTGGTGCTTACTCCAAAAGCACCTTCCCTAAAAACTATCATGGTTCAGTAATGCAACTTCACTAGGCGCATTATAAAACATTCCTCCAAGGCAGATTTCATTGCCTGCAGTCTAAAGTAAGGTTTAGAAGCTTACGTCATACTAATTTACTCAGAAACGTAATTCTGTAATAATGGTTCAAATGTTCCAAAATTCAGAACATTGAAACTACATTTTGTTTACTTCCTAGCAGCTTATGTTCCACAGTGGTAACACTGATGCTGGTCCAAGGACTGTGTCCACCTGTATTGAGATATTTAGCTACAGGTAATGGGGTAAAAGTGCTTGGGTTTCATTTCCCAACATCTCTTAAACTGTTCCAAAACCCCATCAGCTTAAACACCTTTTCTATCCCTTGGGCAGCTAAGTAAAGCATAGCAAAAGGGTAGGAGTATGACCTGCTACTATTAGGGTTGTCATATTTTCTCCAGGAATAAATGGTTTCACCTCCAACTTCCATCTAAGATGAAAGGAACAATAATATATCCGGCGACTCTACCTGAACCATATCAGATGCACACAAGCTGCACAGTTCATGGACATGTTTTTCACTAGAATATAATTTAAAATTCTTATTTACCTTCCTGAGTTTCCTATAAAATTGAATTTTAAAGAATGAAAGAAGGCTGAAAGGGCCCTTCATTTAGTCCATCTCTCTGCACCAAGGAAATCTCTCCCATGTCTCCTGGTAGATTTTTGGCTAACCCAGGCATGCACTCATATGGGTCACTATAGTGACCCCAATGGTCCTCACCACTCTTTATTAAATGAAAAAGGATTTGAAAAGCAAATCAGCTGGTCCTGTGTCCTCAATACATGGCAATTCAGTTAATTTGCCCATATATCTGCATGTGCAGGCCCCCTGCCAATGTGCTTCAATCCTGTCAGAGCAGATCCCATTGGTGGCAGCTCTCCATTGGAAAGTGTGCCCTGCAAGTGGCCCTCAAAGTGAGCTGTGCACACCTGTTCTTGAAAGCTGCTAATATCAGGAAGTTGGAAGGAGAGACAAGGTATTTATTTCTTTAGTAGCTGAACCAGGACAGGCAGAAATAAGACAGTGACATGATTTCAGAGCTGTCCTTAAATAGATCAACTGGAATTCCTTTCTGCATCAGTATTTCCAAGGAGCCAGAAAAAAACAGGGAATCTTACAAAAGGGTGGATGTCCCTGTGGTATATGATAGGATGTGCATATTGGGAGTGCATCATGAAGTGAAGTAGATTTACTTTAGATACATTACATCTATAAAAGTTTCAGCTCCTCTTCAGTTCTGTGGAGATCCCTACCCACTCTGTGTATTGTGGAGGAGCCCCTGCACCTCCACAATATTCTCCATAACTTACCACCTGTGAGCCATTCCTTTGGTCTCTGTGCACTGTAATGTATCCCCTGCTCTTAAAGAGTGGTTTGTAGGTCCAGTTGCTCTGTTTCAGACTCTATATTCCCATGTGCTTCAGTGTAAGCAACTCCTCTGAGCTTCCTACTTTCCCATGTTTACCCCCATAGGGAACTAGCATGGAAAGTCAGCTTCTCAGGAACAAGACAATTAAAAAATGGCAGAAGAGTCCAGCCTACAAATGGCTGAATTGTTCCCAAACTGTCCCTTTCTCCTCCTCTTCCCTCTCCCATGGTAGGCAAGGGAAAATGCCTCATTGGATAAGAGATGCCAAATGGTAAGAAGGCTTGTCAGTGGAGGATAGCAAGACAAGTGTGTTAACTGACCTGCATCTCAGTAATACTTGTTATCTTTGGATTGGGATTTTTTTCAGGGGGAAGCGGACTGGGGACAGGGGAAGAGCATTGATTTTCAGAGCGGCTGGAACAAAACGTCTGCTAGAAACAATTCCAGCTCAGGCACCGAGTACCTCGGAAATTCCCTGTTGGCTTAAACAGAGCACCATGCTGCTGAATTCACTGGCACTGCACTGTTTACCTCAAGTGATGCTCAAGTAAAAATCTTCTGCTGGCTGCTTATTACAGAAGTAGAAAATTTGCTCTCTATCGAACAGGAGTCACTAGTATGAGCCTGAGAGTAAACTTCCTTTGTGAAGTTCAGATAGTTTGGGGCTTTTTCAAGTGCAATGCATATCCAAAATCTTTACCAAGTTAACTGAGTTTCTCATACTTATATATGACTATGACTTCACCTGGAAAAATGACATGTGGCCATTTGAACATGATATCAACCTTTTCCAATGAGTGTGTTTCAACAGTGGGTTCTTCATGCCTTCTCCATACCAAGAGAGTCAGTGAGATACATAATAAAACTAACATAGGATTAAAAAATGATTTCAGCAAAAACCCAGAGACCTGACCAGCCCTGTACTCAGGAGATCCACTTCTACATTACAGATGGATCTGAGTTTCCCAGCAGGTCTCTAGAATGTGCTTCCCTCAAAAACCCTTCTCCAAACACCCCTTTTTCAGAAGTGTGGAGACACTGAACCCTAAAGCCAAAGGTTGCTGTCTGGGCCTAGCTCTGTAATGCATATACATAGATACACAGAATAGTTGACTCAGTATTGTAACCAAAAGCCTTAGCAGCCATTCTCTTTTTTGGTGCAGGATACAGATATGAGAACTCCTTCCTATTTCATAACTACACAAGGACAGCCACAACAAAGCAGCTCATGTTAAAATCTAAATGATAAGTTAGGGTGGGAGAACATGTTACAAAATGGAAAGTCATACTGAGCATGCCCTTCAGAGTCCTTCTTCCCTCCCTTCCCTGATCTCTTTGTTGTGTTCAATTATTAAGGCAAAATTAACGGGAATGGGAACTTTTGACTGATCCAGCCAAGGATGAGAGGATGATCTCAGGCTGATTTCAGCAGAGAAGGGACTCTCACACTCCCTGTGCTTAAAACTGATTTTGCTGTAGCAAAAGGGCAGAAGGGTCAGTCAGGATCTGACACACAGTCCCATGCAAGGATGAATTACACACCTGGGAGTTCATGGCATAAACTGAACATTGTTTCCCTCCATTAGCTCCAGGTTTAGTGCCGGGAGTAGCAAAGTGAAGTTAATTAATTTGCCTATGGCTTTGCAACACCTCAGTTGGTACTCAGGACTTCCTGATCTCCAACCCTATGCTTGTTTCTCTAAGAACTCCTTGTAACCAGCAAGGAGGAAACCAGCTGAGATAGAAAGGGTTTTAAATCAGGCTAGAATCCAGTTTTCCAGCTACAGTCCCCCTGGGTGAGGTAGACCTGGTTCTTACCTGTTTTCTGGTGTAAAACCTTTCAGCTTTAATGACCATATCTACAATAAGGGCATGGTTGCTTCTGGATGCCACAGACAGTGCAGTTTTTCCTTGCTGCAAGAATAGACAGTGAATCTCAGAATGATGGCTAGTCAACAGAAGACAGGTACACCTCTTTGCCCGTGGAGCCCTATCATTTACATTTTCAAAAGAACATGTTTCCACTATGATTTGATGGCTTCACAGCTCCTACTGTGTGAGGCCCTCTCTGCTCTGGATGAAATGAATCCCTTCAGTTCACTGCCACTTGACGGGTGGGATATTTCAGATTTCAGGGGGTTGATAAGGCAGAGATCAGAATATGTTATGGACCTGATGCAATGCCCACCTCTCCTTCAGTCCTGTCATAAGACACTGGGCTACTTGATAGTGTGGGGCAGATCTGCCACAGACTGAAAGCATGCAAGCATTATAATAGGAGGTAATAATTAATGTTTACTACAGCTACACAGGAAGATTGGGAAATACAACTTTAATTCTGGCCAGAAAACACTGCTTAATCTATCTGGGTCCATCTCTGCTACTGCAAGTTGAAGGCCAAGATAATGTTTTGATGACTTTACTGGTTTATTTTCCCTGTCCTTTTCCGTGGGTGAAGTTGCACCGAGCACAGCTGCCTTAGACACAAATATTCTGGATATTTTCCACATATTAACATTAGGGGCTGAAAGATATCAACCTCTAATTAGAAGGCTCAGTGATTAAATTACAAGGCACTTTAACTCTCCAGCTATTCTACAGTTACCTAATAGATACCTATGGCACTCTGGTTCCCAACTCCATTCAAAATCATTATAATTAGCCCATTTTTATAGAGTCACATTGAGAGCCAAGAAATTTACAGCTTGCAAAAGCCTCATCACATGGACAGAACATGCTGCATTAGAGGGGAAAAAAAGGGCCTGTAGGAGCTTCTTGAAGCCCACATTTGCCAAGTCATTCTCCATTCATAGGATAGTTTTGCCTTCCCTAGTAATGGCATGTTATTAGAGTACCTGTGAGTGTAATCAACAAGTTACCCAATATCCTGACTAAGGGGGGCTCTTTCTGGTCTGCTTGAATAAACGATAAACAAAGAAGAATTTCAGAGGAGCATCCCATGCTTCCTACAAAGAAACAATAGGCACCTAGGAACACTTCCTGTCTTCTTGTCACCTCCTCGTCAGCTCTTTCCAGAGAGAGAAGAAACACTTAAATCTCAGGATATGGGAGGGGACAGTGACAATCCAAGCCAGCTTTGTTTGAATGGGGATAGAGCATAGAAACAGTGCTGACACCCCATCCAATCCAGACCCATTGGGTGTGTTTACATGAGATGCTTTAACACGCAGTTGACTAACTGCACAGTAAAGCATCACTGTCTACATGTGCTGATGCTTATTGCACAATTAAGTCAACTGTGGGGTAATCTGCTACCTGCAAGTGCAGGTATTAAATTAACTTCAAGGTAGTGACTGCGCAGTAGCCTACATGTAGATGGCCAACTGGGAGCAAATATGCTCCCGGTCAGCTCAAGCAGCAGAGAACAATCCCCTCCCCTGGGAGCTGCCTGTTGCTGGGGTGGGCTCTGAGCATGGAGCCAAGCCGGGACAATGTCCCCCTGCCCCGGCAGCAAGCAGTCCCAAGCCCTGGCTCCATGATCGGAACTGGGAGCCAATTAGCACAGGGATCAGGTCCATCTCTGCCCCCTGTCCCAACATAGGAGCGGGGAGCTAAAAGTGGGGCAACTAACAGCGAGCCCCCAGGTGGGCAGGGTATCCCCACAAAGCCAGGGGCAGCTGGGAGCTGTCCCACTGGGGGAGCAGCTAGCAGTGATCGAGGCATAGGGCTCAGAAAGAGCTATGGGGGAGGGGACTCTTCCCAGCCCCCTGCCCTGATCACCTGATCAGGGTACAGGGCTTGGAAACAGCTGCAGGGGAGATGCACAACCCAGAGCCCTAGACAGGGACAGGTCCTGGTCAGCTATGGGGAAACCCTCCTGGGCACAGAGCTTGTCCCCATGTGCGTGGGGTAGGAGAGCTCTGCAGCAGCAGCAGCGCTCCTGCTCCGTGCACATCAGGACCCCTCCTGATGTGTATGGGAACAGGAGACACCTGTCTCCTGGCCCTGTGCTCTCTGCCAGCACCTAAGCTAGCATCCAGGGGGAGCCTGGAACTCCCCCTGGCTGCTGCAGGGTGGCAGAGCAGTGTGGGGGCAGCCCTCTCCAGGCTGCTCCCATTGGGAGCAAATCTGCTCTGAAGAGGGAGCACATATAGACATGCTCCCCAATAGGCTTACTGTGTAGTATTTTTACTGTGCAATAAGCGTACTTCAAATTAATTGCACATGTAGATAGGCCCATTAAACCTATCAGAACTCCCAGTAATTATGGGACAGCTTACCCCTCCTCCCACTGGTAGACATGGAGGAGCTGCTACCCCAGTAACTAAAAGCAGTACTGGCTCTTCCTCTGACTACTTCTCTTGTGGCTTCTGGCTCCTGTTACGTGGCTCGGTGGCTTCTGTTACCTGGCTCTTAAGGTTATAGGGATTTAATGCTGAACCAGGCACTGAAATTTAATTTTTAATGTTTGACTTCTCATCTGTCTTTAACAGGAGCAGGCAAAATATGGCCTTCGGGTCAAATCTGGCCTGCCAGGCCATTCTATCTGACCTGCAGGGCTCATAAAAAATTTAGAAAATTAATATTTATCTGCCCCTGGCTGCCTGTCAAAGATGACAAGGTGCCAGCAGCAGCAGGACCCAGGAGGAGTCAGTGGCAGGGCCCAGTGGCAGCAGCAGCAAGGCCTGCCTGCCCCCCCCCGCCCAACCCCAGCCCCCCAGTCTCCAGCCACAAGCTTCTGCCTAGCAGAGGCTTCTGGCCTGGGACCTTGGGGCTGTTCCCTGCCTCCCTCCACCCGACAGTGGAGAGCCAGATAAGAATGGGCGGGGGGGGAAGCAGGAGCCCGCCTGGCCCAGCCAGCACCATGTGGTTCCCAGCTGGCTCCTGCTGTGCCATGCAGTCCCAGCCATGCAGCCGGGACAGTGCAGGGCGAGGGGAGGGAGCAGTGGCGACAGGCAGGGAAGGAAGGGAAGCAGCAGAGGAAAGGCAGCGGTGGCAAGCATGGTGGGAGGAAAGTGGCAGCAGGTGGGACCTCAGGACCCTGGCAACAGGAGCCAGCTGGGAACCATGGGGGCCAAGTTGGCTCCTGCTGTGTTCTGCAGTCTCACTATTGCAATTGGGAATCATGCACTGCCAGTAGGTGCCTGGCTGGCTCTGTGCTGCGTGGTTGCCAGCTGCAATGCTGGGACCACAGAATGCAGCAGGAGCCAACCCAGCCCCTGCAGTTCCCAGCTGGCTCCTGCTGCTGCTTCTATTGCAGGGCCGTGCATCTGCAACTCCCATACTCACACTGGGGGAAGCCCCACACTGGAGCCGGCTGCCTTCCCTGTCCCTAGACTCCACTGGGAGTGGAGGGATCCCCATGTCCCCTGCTTCCCCATAGAGTCCAGTGTGGGGCTTCCCCAGGTGCAAGTGTGGGAGCTGCAGGCATGTGGCATAGAGCCCCCATGATAGAGGCAGCCAGGCAGTTTGTGCTCCTTGCTGCCCCATACGCAGTGCTGGCTGGAGCCCCACCCCGCCAGGCGCCAGTGCCTGCACCAGACACAAGCTCCCTGAGTGCCCCCACTTGCTGCTGCTGCTGGCAGCAGAAGCTGTGTACAATGTAGGGGAGTGGGTGGGGGGGCCCCACACCCCCCATCATCCCTCACACCCCACAAACCTCACACACCCACACGCTGCCCCACAACCTCCCCATATATACACACAGCCCAACATACCCTATGCCCCCCCACATAGCCATAACCCCTCACAAACTGCCCACACCCCACCACACGCGCGCACACACACACACAATATAAAAGTGAGACTTTATTTTTAAGTTATTATGCAATCCCTTCTATATACAATACACAAACACAAATCATGAAAAATATTTTTTGTAATAAAATTAAAATGTTTTAGTAGGTGTTTGACTTTTAGTGTACGATTTGTTTTATTTCTGGTTCTAAGATGGCAACCCCCCACTTCCCAAAAGGAGTATTTCTGAGGGGCAAGGGGAGAGACTTCTCATGGCAAAAGTCAGGGGTTAGGGGGGCAGGATTTCCTGTCTCAATATGGCGACCAGGGGGCGGGGCAACTGTCAAGGGGCAGGGCTACCCATGCGGCCCTCAACAGCTCATCAAAACTTGTTAAGCAGCTGTCCAACTGAAATAATTGCCTGCCCCTCCTGTATAAGCTGGTACTTGGATGACAGAGTAACATCTGTGAGGCTTGGGTATGGCTATAGGGGAGGATGGAGGCCACAAATAGCTCATAAGGCAACTGATGCTCTGAGGCACTAACAGGGCTGACTAACAGCAGAGCTGCACTGGGCTTACTCTGGGACCCTGGGGGCAGCCCCCCCAAAACCTTATCAGTTACATCAAGATATGGCAGAAGAGGTAAAAAGGGAGGGTACCTGAGGAGCCAGAATGAGGAGAGGAGTTGAATGGACCTCAGGGGGCATTGCAGCCTCCCCGGGGGCCTGTTCCTATCACAAATATTTAGAAAATCTGATTCTCACATATTTAGAGAGAAGGTCACCATAAAAATGATCACATTGCCTTAGCATTTATGTACAATGGGATATACCTTATCTGCAATCTTGAGATCACAGCCTGCCTTCAGCAACAGTTCCACTAATTCAACATTGCCAAGATCAGCTGCCAGATGTAGAGGGGTCTGTTGCCTCTGGAATGAACAATAGAAAATAAATACAATAACCCAATGCCTCACTGGAAAGAAACCAGACCCAATTAAAATCCAAAGGCAGTTTACCATGACAGCATATACTTAAATGGATAATACCATGCAGAATGAAGGTACCTAACACTTGAATGGTCAAACTTCCAGTTGTCTTTTCAGAAAAGAAAAACAGGCCTTAGTTTTTGCAGCAATGCATTCACAAACTATAAAAGTCCTTGTACAATAGGAATGTAGTAGGTTTGTCACATATTCAGAAATATTTTGGCGTGTGTTTGAGTTATGCTTACATAGGTTAGAACTGGGAATGGAGAAAACTATACAATTTCTCCTGTTGGAAATGTTTCAAGCTAGCTGCAAGCCCAGCTGTAGATCATGATTACTGCCCCTTCATCCTTTCCAAACACCTGCTTCAATAAGCTACATTTTTGGACAGAACTGCAAACAGGCCAGTGGGACTTTATGGATTATTTATTGACTCTTCTGAAGAGAACAAGGGTCCATCTTGCTTAGAATATGGAAAGCTGAACTGTAAGCATGGGTGAAACTCACACTGGGGAAGGTGGAGACCTTGTCCAAAGCTCTACAGGACATGAAAGACTTGTAGTGAAGCTACCCAGAGGAAAAATAATGGAGAGGTTCTGGCAAAGATTAAGCATTACAAAGGATCATTATGATCGTCTAGTCTGACCTCCTCAATAACATGGGCTGTAGAACTTTCTCCAGTCAACCTTCTCAATCAAGCTCATAACTTCTCACATCTGTAAGAAATCTATCCAGTCTTGATTCAAAGACTTAAAAGTGATGATGAATCTGTCATCTCCCTTGGTAAGTAACAGCATATTCCATGGAAAGCTTCTGACACAGAAATGTATATCAGGAAAAAGGCAGAGAGAGGCATACAGGATCTAGAAATAAATACATGGATCTGGTATTGTACTTGAAATCATGAACCAAGGCACAAAGACTGTACCCATTACTAGAGGGGTGCCATGGTGTAGCTCCATTTCATAGAGTGCATCATGTGCCTCCAATAAGATCTGTTTTGTTTTTCTACAGAAGTTCATTAAATAAATAAGAATTGTGGTGGGTGATATCTTTTATTGGACCAACTGCATGGCTGGGTACTGTGATACCCAAAAGCTTGCCTATGTCTATCCCCCCCTAAGAATATTCGCCTCCTGCATATTTCTTGGACCATCATGGCAATAACATCACCTCAACACTATCATTACCATATTTACTCCAATCTATGATGACTCTGAATTTAAAATGACCCCCCAGTAATTAGACTCTATATGTGGAAAATGTATAAATTTGTTATATTCCAGGTATAGAATCTAAGTATTGGAGATTGTCTGGAATTCATCTCTCCCCACTGTTACAGCAGGGAAAGCAGTGGTTGGAGGGAGTCAGGTGACTATGAGGGTCAGGTGCCCTCCTTGTCCTCTGTCCCCAACTTCTTCCCCCTGCAACCTTCCTGCCCCACCTACTACCTGAACCCCTCACCCCCAGCTCCCCACATAGCCTCTGCACCTCCCTCCCCCACTCCCTCCGGTGTCTGCCCTTCTCCCCCTGACTCCCCAGTCTCTGCCTTTACCCCCCCAGCCCCATACTGTCAGATGCTGTTTGGGCTCTATTCCTTCCCCAGAGCACACAACATGAAAGCGCAGCCCTTGCTAAACCATGCAGCACTGGCAGTGCTGCTGATTCACTGGGCAAGGGACAGAGTTTTCATTTTGCTCCGTGCCGGGAGGGAACCCAGCCTGAGCTGGAGCTGAGCTGCACCTGACAATAATGGAGAAAAATGGTGGGCAGAAGCTGCAGAAGGCAAGTGGGGGTGTGAGGGAGGTGGGGGGAAGGTGGCTGCTGTGGGTCTGACTCTGGCTCCAACCTGGGGTTAGGGTCAGAGCTGCAGCAGCTGCCTGCCCCCTACCCCTCCATTCTGTGTGGGAATCTAAGATGAGGGGCTTTTTGCCCCCATGATGTCTGGGGAGGAGGGGGAGGGACTTGTGTTAGAGTCAAATAAATGTGGTAAGTAAAAAAACCCACATTTATTCAATTATATTCAGTAAATAAACCATAAAAACCCACTGGCCTGATTGTAATTTCATTCTGCACAAGATTTTACTTGATATATAGAGGAATTTAACTCTGGTAATAACCACTCCAGTGAGCAACTGGCACTTCCCAATTCCCTTTTGCCAAGTGTCTGCCTCTTGCTTATGTCTAGTGGCAAGATAACTTATTTGACTTGTTTGACTACTATGAAATATAGGAAAGTATTTCACACCTTTGGAAGCACCACTGCTGAAGATAAGGCATATCACCATTTATAGGAGTCACATATAAGATTCAGCATCTCCAGACTCCTGCTTTTGGACTGAAATATCAGGAAGCACCAGCACAAAGTTTCCACGTACAACCTTACCTCTGTTCCATTGTGCAATGCTCTATGACACCATTTGACAGGATGACAACTTACTTTTCCTCATATAAAATATTATACATTTTTCTGCAGTCTGATATATAATCATAGTACCTCTTATTGGCATGTATTTCTCTAAGCATGCTAGAAACAACGGGTATGAACAAATGTATGTTTGGACCCAACTTCATCCAGGATCACAGTTGGAGAGATTTAGCTCACTTCTATTACTACAGGATCATGCACATATAATAGCTCCAGCATTTTCAAGCAGCATCTCCCCTTCTTTTGAAGCAGCTCCAAGTGTACATTTGGTCATATGCTACCTGAAGTCCCAAGATGAGCCTGAAGAGTTTTCAGAACTGTTTATTCTATGGCATTATTTGAGAAATAGTATGTTATCCTTTAATTAAATTCAGTGTTTATTTTATTTATCTGCTTTGATTCAGATTATGCAAAACGATGCCACTCTCAAGATCTAGGTTCCTATAAAGGATTAAATATGTAATCTAGGTAATCCATGACAATAATGGAGAAAGGATAAAGGATAAAGCAGCAGATCTAACAAAACTAAGTTCTTTCTCAGAAAACACTATGATTCACAGGAGACAGAGCAATTATAGGTTTGGTGCTTCCTGACTTGTTAATGCTTATTGTTTTCAGACAATGTTCATTGCTTTTGTTTACAGAAATAATAAATACCAGAATCTGGAACTGTTTGATTAGAACATACAGGAGTCACACTTAAGCAAGAGAAAGTGCTTGTGCCGATTACATTTTTTATACATGACACCAATTTTTCAACCTTGAAAATTAACTGGAGCTTGAAAGAGGCAGGGACCCTGAAAGGTGCCTCATTTGACATGTACCACAGAAGATCAGTTTTAAACGGGGCATTATTTCTTGTAGGGACAACAATGGCCTCCCATGCTGAAGTGGGTGTGTAGTTCAGTGTGGTTGGTCTAATAAAAGATATCAAATTCACCCAAGGAACCTTATCTGCCTAGTTCAGTTCAAAAACTTTGATTCACTTTAGCAATATGTTAAATACAGAAGTAGGGTATTCAAGTAGGAAACAAGCTACATCTTTTCTGAATATTATGTTGCTACCCGTCTCTAAGATAGCAAGACATATGCAAATGAGTATGAGACAAATGCCTCTTCATCCCCTTTTTTGTACTCTGACCTTATAAAGAGCTATTAAAATAAATAGCCACTTATCAAAAGTTTAAAAAATACATTCTCCTCTGTCATACAGAAGTAATTTTGCTTTGCAATTTGCTTACCTGATCCAAACAGTTTATGTCATGATTGGCATCCAAAAGAGAATTTACTACAGAAAGATGATTGTTGATGACAGCTATGTGGAGAGGGGAATTTTTCTGCTGTAGAGAGAAATGAACTAACTATTAGGCTTGGACACTTACATCAAGAGTGGCATTCAAATAATATAGGAGGGTTCCATTAAACCCTGCCACTCAGATTTGAAACAGGGCATAATGCAGTAATAATTTTGCCTAATTATGCTTCCTCATTGTGAAGAAACTTCTACTCTCAGCCCTAAAAGAAAAAGTCACACCATTCCCTGTTTCTGAACCCATATTTGTGAACAGCTCTTTCAGTCAAAATCCATTACCATGATTGCCAATTGCTTTGCGCAATGTGATATAATGAAGAAAGGTCCCATGCAAAAAGAACTGCTTGAATGATGCCTCAGGGATGAAGTATCACTTGCTATAAAAATATATATTTCAATGTTTTCTGAATAAAGATGCTTGCACTCCTGCAAATAAATAAAGCTGTGCTGAAGGGCTACGTCTTCATTTTTGTTACAGTACAAAATTATTTTGTTGTTCCCAAGAAAGACATTGAAGAGCCATTCAATTTCATTTGAATTGTCTTCTGGGCTGAGAGCTAGGTGAATACTTTTTATCGGGTAAATTATTGATATGAGGGGCCCTATCCCCTGTAGATGCACACAGGTGCAGAGGACTGTTCATGGAAACCCAATTGCAAAGCCTTGTCTCTAATCTCTTTTTGTTCATTAATTACCTAAAGCAACTTACAAACAGCAAGTAAAGAAAACTAATTATTCACTGCACAATGACACTGAGTAATTCTTTGTCTGGAGACTGTCTACAAGCAGTTCATTATAAGCACTTCATATTCACAATGTGCTGGCTTGTGTTTTAGTTGAACATGTATGGGCATTTCTGCTTTCCCTGCAGACCTGATCTGGAATTGCAATTGTCCAAACACAGACTCAATGAGCACAACTCCAGATCAGGTTTCTGGGGTGATAGATCAAGTCCGAGAGTTGAAAATCCACTTTCTACGAATATTCTCTAACACTCATTTAAAATATGCAGCTTTGGTGAGAATATCTGCTAGTAAATTATCTTGGTAGACTATTAATGTAAAAGGAACACAGCTGGAATTTAAATTTTACTATGCAAGTGATTTTTAGTGGAAAAAAACGAGGTATTTACCCAACAGATTGGTTAGTAATGTTTGCATGCTGAATCTGCAAGTCTTAAATAGATTTTAAAAATAATTTAGCACCACTGCCATATAGGTAGTGTTAACATAAACCACACCCATTTCTTCAGGGTTTTAAAAAAATAAAACTCTCATTCAACTTTTTACTGTGAATATTGCAAAGATAAAAACCTGATATTTAAGGGAATAAAATAATTGTTCCTTCAATGCTAAAATATAAAACAAATGCTTGGGCCACTTATATTACAAAATCCAGATATTTTATTTTAATGTTATAATTTAGTATAGTGGTACCCAGGCTTCTGGCCCTGTGGGCTGGATAAGTGGCAGGGGGTCAGTCTGTAGGCGCTGGATCCCATACTGTGTTGGTCTGTAAATATGATCCCACACACTGGCCTGACCTGCATGCTGGATGTGGCCATATACCAGTTGCAGTCATGTGGTGATTCAACCCTCCATGCTTGGACCTGGCCACAGAGCACCCCCATGTGCCAGTCCAACAATGCCTTGGTGCAATATAACACACAGGGCCATGTTATCCGGTCTGCGGGACTCCCCACAGGCCCATAAATTTGGCAGCTTAGGAGTGGCAATTAATGCTGCCACTGCTCATCCACTTCCATATTTCCTAACACATGGGAAGCCTGGTGGGCTAAATGACTCTGCGGGCCAGATCTGGCCTGAAAGCTGCAGGTCGAGTAGCATTGCTTCAGTACAATAAAGTCATTTTCAGGATCATGGTAAATCTCAAATATAATAAGAAATCCCATGCCTAAGATGGCACACAATTTGAATGTTATAAAATGTCATAGAACAAAATAAAATCAAGGTAGGATTTTACATAGATTCTGATGGGATTCTTTTTAAGCAGAGTGTATGAGGACATTAAGGTGTTTTCCCCATTTAAATAATAAACTTTGCAAAGCAGGAGCTATCTGCAATGTTATAACTACACCTAGCATAAAGGGGTTCTAAAATTGTTGGTTCCCACATACAACAACATCATCAATGACATTTACATTAAAATAATTAATGATAGAATAAGTAACCCTATGGCTAGGAGAATTCTAAAAAAAGGTAATCAAGAAAGATAAACCATGCTAGACAAACATGGAAGTCACGCTGAAAGAATTACTTTTATATGCTCACCTCAGGTTTAGTGACGAGATCTATATTTTTACCAATAAGAAATGTGACTAAGGATTTATGTCCATTCTGTGTTGCAATATGCAAAGCATTATTGTTGTGCTGAAAGAAACAAACAAAGGGCTTTTTAATCACTGGAACTAATTCAGAGTATTAAGGAAAATTCTTTTTTTAAGATGGCTACCCATACAGATGAAGCTTCAGTTTAAAATTGTGCTATGAATCAAAAAGTGCTTATAGTAAAATGATGAAGTAGGAGATCATATCACACAACATATCAATATGAATGTTTACTGGAATATGACACTGGTAGCTGGCAAAATAGGTTTCTAAAAATTCAACTCCCCTCTGATCTATTCTCAGGAAAAAGAAGATCCAACTTATTCAGTTACCCTGTGCCACTGAAAATGAAGCTTTCCCTGTATCTCCCAATCCTTTAGATTGGTGTGACCTTTAACAAGTAACTACACTCACATTTGCACACTTCCCAAACTTCTGAAAAAACATTCTGTTAACACTTTAGCCAAAAGAAGCAAGAATGGTTTTTTTGACAATGAAACCTAGAAAAATTTATACTGTAGGCAAGAAGTTATCCTGGTGGATGGTGAATTATCAAATGCTGCAGTGACTCTAAGCTAAAACATATCAGAAATCTGTTTAGATTTTAAATGGAATTAGAGTAATGGTACAATAAATGTATAAAGGTGAGGAATTTTTTGTGATATCTTTTATTGGACCAACTGTATAGTTGGGAAAGAAGTTAGATAAGCTTTTGGGCGCAAACTCCCCTTCCTCAGTTTTCTCCCCCAATTATATACTTAGTTTAATAAAAGAAATAACTAGAAAACACTCATCTCTTATATTTACTACATGCAGCAGCCACTGTCCCTTCTGCTATCAGAACATGCTTCTGTTCTCAATTTTTTAGGGACCAAGAGCTTCACCTCAAATTCCAGTGCTAAGCCAAGACCATTAAACAAATGAAAATTGAACCTGAATCCAGGAATCAGATGTGGACAACATGTTTATCATCAGCTCAGTTGTTGTATACTGCCAAAAATGCAGATTTTTCAATTACCGCTGGTGATTATTTTTCCAAGCCATGTGTTTTATTACTGAATATAAAGTAAATAAAAAAGGCTCAACACAACATAAATATCTAGTGTAATTTATCCACTTTCTTAAAGACCTTCTATTAAAAATATTGTTTCCCTGTCCTTACAAAACTTTTATTTGCCTTTAGTGCACAGAACATGGCCCTTCACAGAGTCTAGGATGTCCCATTAACCATATCTGCAAAGAAATATTATACACATACTTTATCAGAAATGTTGATGTCACTTCCTGCTTCCAGTAACATCTCAACACAGTTTTCATGACCTCCTTCGACAGCCAAGTAAAATGGTGTTTCTCCATTCTAGCCCAACATAATAAAAAGAAAAATGTCTGTTAACATTCAATCTGTGCAATTGTGAAACAGACCTAGTTTGCCATGTTATGTGGTGCATATGGTATACAAGCTTAGCCAGAGTGATACAGAATAAGGAGAAAATGAGATTTGGTTATGATGGTAATAATATCTGAATCCTTTGTTATTAACCTGTGCATGGTTACAACAAAAATTTCTAATAAATATATCCTTATACTAATCTAGTCCAAACATACACAAGCTCTATTTTCATATTTTTATTGCGTTTGTGTGTTTAAAATCCCCCCACACTACTAGACACAACTATGACCACAGATTGCAATGACAGACACACCAGTAAAACAATATTGCTATGGGTGATCCATCCAATACATATCACAAGTGCCAAAAATTAGTTTTTGTCAGCCGAATTTTGCGTATTTCTGATGTGTTCTTGATTTTGGCATCAGCTAAACAGTGCAGTAAACCTCCTACATTTTTATTTTTTAGATTGAATAAAAATCAATCCATAGCCCTAGTGAGTCTTTAGAATAAATGAGATACACAGCACAGTTACCTAAAACCCTTGTTTCTCATTTTTACTTAATACTCGTGCATATTTAAAGTCACCTCAGCATTTCAATGTTCACTGTAGCATTAGTAATTTCTAACTTTCTCTCACTTACAACATGGGGATATTTTGGTTGGTATTTTAGTAAACTGGGCGCTAATGAAAGGAATGAGCCTGACAATCATGAAGTTGAAAGACCTCTGTTTAACCACAGAACAGACCGGGTATGTGCAACACTTGCAGTAGCAGCAACACTATTATCATGTCACTCTGCCAATGGACAAGGTCATTCAGGAAGGACCACACTGAGGTGCAATTTGTGTCCCATTAATCCATGACCTCTCTGCTGAGACAGCAGAACAGAGTGCCAGCCAGAGTGGAGATTTCTGTGATGTGCACATCTGCTCGTTATGTATAAGGCACTTCATTACAGATTCATTAAAGAGTGGGCAACAAATGACAGCAACTTCCATACCTTACTGACCCAAGCTGGATGCAAGCAGAAACACTGAGGTAAAAATCTATGTCATCTCTTCATTCTCCTTTGTTGACTTAGCACAAAGGCTTAAAGGAACTTTGATGCATGCATGCTCTGTGTTGACTAGTTTATAGAAACTCTATTTATTTTACAGCTATTTTGGTTTTATTTTTAAATATGGACTTTCTTTTTGCCTTGCATACCTGTTACCTTTATTTCCCTCAGCATCTTCTGTGTATTCTCACCTCATTGAGTTCATTTATTTCTTCCCATTGATTCAGCAAAATTTCCACCACCTCGCTGTGACCATTTTTAGCAGCTAAATGCAGTGCAGTGTTTCCTTCCTTTAAATGTAAACATCCAGAAACATAATGTAAGCCCCAAATTCAGTACAGGGTGTTGCAATTACAAGAAAACAACAGCTTCTGGACTTTAGGGAGATATTTAAATACAAGGCGTTGTGGTCTCTTCATCTACTGGACATAGACAATATCAGATCATAGGCCTGCACCTCAAAAAGGGAAGCAGCAGCTCCATGGTATATTCAGATATTTTCCCAATACTGAGGAAGTCTGAGTTAGCACAGGGAAAGGAAGATATAAGGATGTGGTGGCTGTATCAGTCTCTCTGCAACTTCCCTGAAGTTTTTGAAGTATCCACCTGTGGAACGGCCTGAAATAGCTGCCTACCCTGCAACCAAGTAAAGAAAACCCAGCCCTCAAGAGGGTAAGGCAGGGGGAAAATTGTAAAGCATTTCCAATGGAATTTTGTTCCATTATACAGATTTCTCCATGAAAGGAATCTAGGTCTGGCTAAACACATCTTAAAAAGCAATGACTTACAAAGACTGAGGGCCAAAACCTCAGTTGGTGTAAAATGGTGTAGTACCACTAAAATAAATGAAGTTATCTTCACTGTTTTCCCCCTGCCTTACACCATGCTCAGATATTTACAAAAAGAAAACAACAAAAATAAAACAAGCACACACACCTGTGGTAAATAGCAGAGGGAGAAGAACTATGGGCACCAACAGATGTGCACGCTCCCCCACCCCTCCACCCCAGCTCCCAGCTCTGGGGCTTGTCACAACCCAAAGGGTGTGATTTTTGTTTTTGTGCGCTTCGGCACTGCTAAATTGTCCCCGCTAAATTGCAGCTTCCTTGCACGGTGGAGTTTTCTGCTGCAGAGGAGAACCCCGGTGCAAGGGAGAATTTCCCGCCAATTTGAAGCTTTCTTTGCAGGGTGCATTTCTTTGTTGCAGCACAGAAATGCTCGTTGCAAAGAGTTCCCATCATTTGTATGCTAATTCGAGTCCCATTATTGGCCAGTTCTAAATTATTCACACGTGGCGGCTAGTGATTGGCTTGCTAGCCATATAAGAGGCTTGAGTGGTTTCTGCCCAAGTTGGAGGACTCCACGAACAAGGGAGGAGGAGACTTCACGCTGTGTGAAGATCTCTAAGCACTGCGGATCCTTACGGACCCAGTGCATTTAAAGCAGGCAACAGAGGTCTGATCACCCTCTAGCCTCTCCCCGTCGCCGATCGCAGTCCAGACGAATCCCTTCCCGCGCGCAA